CCCCCCCCCCCCCCCCCCCCGGTGTTCAGGGCCTCAACTGGTCTCTACTCCAAGACAACTGAACTTCTCATTAGATCGTTGTGTTTTAATTTGTTGAAAATAAATAAAAAACGTAAGAAAAGCCTTTATCTACTACAGCTCCACTTTGTGTATGTGTGAGATAAACAAACCATCACATACTTGCCATCATCTGCATGGAAAGCCACAGAATTGGGAAGCCAGCCGGGCTGATGGTCCAGTTTGTAGAACTGAGGCACCAAACCGACAGCAATCATCCCCCTCACTCCCGTATCAACGATAGTCACCTGCAAAGAGCACAGCCTGTTAATGTTAGGAAACATTTTCTCTACTTTATAAAGTTTTAGTGTAACCAAAGAGTTCCTTTTACAAGCCTGAATCAAAAAGAAATGAGCAGATCTCATTACCTAAAAGTAATAAAATATTCTTCCTTGGTCTTCATGAGCTTCATGTGCATGATATGTGAGAGACAGATTATGACAATCTTAATCTTAATCACAAGATAAAAAGCAATGTTTAGAAAAAGTTCAGGTTTATTTGCCTCTGAAGGTGCCATCTCAGATTCCTTTTTTTTTTTTCTATCGTTTTATTTTGAAATGATCTTTGTACAAACTGATCAAACCTGAAACAATATACAGTCGTGTTGTGCAACACAGCATGACAGATTGGAAGTACTTAAGTTTTTACCATTGTTTTGATAACTAAATATTGACCGAGTGACATCATCCCCGAGGAGCTGTACACACAAAACTCAATGAAACCGGAGAACGGCTGTCAGGTCCCGCGAGACGAGAGGAAACTTTCAAGCCATTTCCCATGATCTCAACACTGGTCTCCTGAGAGCAACAAGAAATAAATCTAAACTTCTCTCCAGCACGCAGATAAACCCTAAAAATCTACAATCAGACTTAAAATCTGTGCCCACTTATCACTTACTGCCACTCACACATGTACTTTGCTCCCTCCACCATTACTCCTAGAAAGCTGAGTCACAACAAAGGGACCACACGCAAGCTACGAGGTTAACTTACAAACGCCACCCCGTGTTAGGCCCAACAGGAGTTAGCGCATGGATTATTCAGGAATGGATGCTGGCCTCATGTTTGTGTATTAAAGAGAAATAAAGTAGAGCTATTGGACACGTGAAACCACTGGGTCTGAAATAGCCCAGTAATCAGACAACAACTGTTTTAATAAAGCGTAATATTAACATCTATTCATGGTTAGCATAACTTTACTGGTTAAGTTAAGATGGTTTACAAAATCTTATTGGGACCAACTTTTAAAGGCTGGTACTCTTTGCATCTAAAGCAGTAAGACTTGTACAGAGTTTTTACATTACTCATTGCCAAAGGTGAAAAGGGTCAATTTTGTTGCCAGTTTCTGCCCTTGAGAAGAGCAAGTGTTGATTTGTGTATATTTAGTTAATGTTTTTCTTAGCTAATATCTTAGATCCTATTACTGTTTTTCTTTTTCTTTTTGGATGTAACTGGGACCCTGTGTACATAATTTCATTCCACCACATGTATCGCATGTGGTGCGAATGAAATTAAGAATATCTGAATCTGACATGCAGCGGGTGACGCAGATTCCTTCAAGGAATCCAAGAAACCTTCAACTTTTTTATTTTTACCATAATCGATGAGAATATTCAAAAAGGTGAACTGTGAGGTTTGATAAACCACTTTAGCCAACAAACTAAAATCTATAAATTGAACAAGCTTCTTACAGAGCCACTCCTTGGTTCTCCTGGCTGTGTGCTTCAGGTCATTGTCATATTGGAAGACCCAGCCATGACCCATCTTCAATGCTCTAACTGAGGGAAGGAGGTTGTTCCCCAAAATCTCACAATACATGGCCCCGGTCATCCTCTCCTTAATACAGTGCAGTCGTCCTGTTCCATGTGCAGAAAAACACCCCCAAAGCATGATACTTCCACCCCCATGCTTCACAGTAGGGATGGTGTTTTTGGGATGGTATTCATCATTCTTCGTCCTCCAAACACGGCGAGTGGAATTAAGACCAAAAAGTTCTATTTTGGTCTCATCTGACCACAGAACTTTCTCCCATGACTCCTCTGGATCATCCAAATGGTCAAGGGCAAACTTAAGATGGGCCTGGACGTGTGCCGATTTAAGCAGGGGAACCTTCCGTGCCATGCATGATTTTAAACTATGACGTCTTGGTGTAATACCCACAGTAACCTTGGAACCAGTGGTGCCAGCTCTCTTCAGGTCATTGACCAGCTCCTCCCGTGTAGCTCTGGGCTGATTCCTCACCTTTCTTAGGATCATTGATACGCCACGAGGTGAGATCTTGCATGGAGCCCCAGTCCGAGGGAGATTGACAGTCATGTTTAGCTTCTTCCATTTTCTAATAATTGCTCCAATAGTTGATCTTTTTTCAACAAGCTGCTTGACAATTGCCCCGTAGCCTTTTCCAGCCTTGTGGAGGTCTACAATTTTATCTCTGGTGTCTTTGGACAGCTCTTTGGTCTTAGCCATGTTAGTAGTTGGAGTCTTACAGATTGTGTGGGGTGGACAGGTGTCTTTATGCAGCTACCGACCTCAAACAGGTGCTTCTAATTTAGAATAATAAGTGGAGTGGAGGTGGACTTTTTAGAGGAGGACTAACACGTCTTTGAGGGACAGAATTGTTGCTGATTGGCAGGTGTTCAAATACTTGTCTGCAGCAGTAACACACAAATAAATCATTTAAAAAATTCATAAATTGTGATTACGGATTTTGTTTTTAGATTATGTCTCTCACAGTGGACATGCAACTAAGATGAAAATTTCTATCAGACGCCTCCATGATTTCTAAGTGCGAGAACTTGCAAAGTTGCAGGATGTTCAAATACTTATTTTCCTCATTGTATACGTTTATATAAACTGTGCAAAGCAGCAACATAAAGAAGCAGAACCATGTCAAACCTGTCATCTGTGAAGGTTCAGTGTCTATAACGTCCCACAAACGCACTTAAAAAAAAAACAAAAAAAACATTTACTTTATAAAATAATAATGTTTTAGGTTGCCTCAGTCCATCTATAATTAGCCCTAAAAAAATATAAAAAAAAACAGCAGTGCTTCAGAATATTGTTTCTAAGTTGTTGTTTTTTTTGTTGTTGTTGTTTGCCAGTTTTAAATTTTCCCCAGAGGTGAAGAGATAAATACACTGCCTGGCCAAAAAAAGGTCACACACTAATATTTCATTGGACCGCCTTTAGCTTTGATTACAGCGTACATTCATTGTGGCATTGTTTCAGTAAGCTTCTGTGATGTCACCAGATCTATTTCCATCCAGCGGTGCATTAATTTTTCACCAAGATCTTGCATTGATGATTAGACACTAGGCATGATGGGTGCATCACTTCACCTGCCTCTCTTCTTGCCCTGATGCACCCATCACTCTGAAACAGTAAATCTGGACTCATCAGACCACATGACCTTCTTCCATTGCTCCAGAGTCCGATCTTTATGCTCTCTAGCAAATTGAAGCCTTTTTTTTTTCCAGTTAGCCTCACTGATTAGTGGTTTTCTTAAGGCTACACAGCTGTTCAGCCCCAATCCCTTGAGTTCATTTCACATTGTGCGTGTGGAAATGCTCTTACTTTCACTATTAAACATAGCCCTGAGTGCTACTGTTGTTTTTCTTCCATTTGATTTCACCAAACGTTTAAGTGCTCGCCGATCACGATCATTCAGGATTTTTTTCCGGCCACATTTCTCCCTCGAAGACGATGGGTCCCCACTATCCTTCCAGTTTTTAATAATGCGTTGGACAGGTCTTAACCCAATTTTAGTAGTTTCTGCAACCTCCTTAGATCTCAGTTGTTTTTGTATTGAACGCTTTTTGAATTTATCATGTCCTGGATGACTGAGAATCTTCACCAGCATAAACCTCTTTAGATGTTTTCTCTTCTTGATGCCAATGATTTGACCCTTCTCAAACAGACTGACATCTTTTCCACGACCACGCAATGTGTCTTTCAACATGGTTGTTTAATAAATGAGAAGCAACTCGTTGCACCAGTTGGGGTTAAATAACTTGTTGCTGAAAGATAATCTTCCATGCAGTAATTATCCAATAGGAGGCTCGTACCTATTTGCTTAGTTAAATCCAGGTGGCAACTTTTTTTGGCCAGGCAGTGTATGTTGACTGGCAATGATATTAAGAGGAGTTACTAAACTCATAAAGAGATTTCTAAAACAGAATATTGTCATTTTTTGACACAGTGCTGCACTAAGGCCTAAAAATCACATCTGCTCAATTACTGTTGGCAGCATTCTCCCAAATTAGGAACAAAAAAGTATTTTTTTACTACATCAAATACCTACTTACTTTTAGTTTCTATAGTAAATGTTGGTATTTAACTAATTAATCCGTCCCAAGTTCATATTTGAAGAAGGTATAAATTGGGAGATTTACTGAAAATGTGCTGAAATGTCAAAAGAAAACTGTAAAGTGCACAAAGTTCATCTTGAAACTAAGCAGAGCTGCTGAAAACCTGCTGAAGTGTTTATGTGCTGCTTGTTCATGTGAGAAAATCCACTATCAGTTTCTGAGCACTGAAGTGGAACATCTTGCAGTGAGTAACCACATCGGTGCTCACGTTTCAGATTTGTGACATATTTATGGAGCTAGTCAAAGATTTCACTCTTGTTAAAGTGCGCTCCGTAGAGTACAACTAGAACCCAGAAACAGAACAAAGAGCAGCTTCAGACTGAGAAGAAACCATCAGCTCTTACTTCAAAATAGCGGATCCTTTTAGATAACGGTCTTGCAGCTACAAAACAGCCAACTTCATCGGAGTTCCCATGATACCTTTGCAAGCAATAAAAAGAATAAACAATAATTAATTCAGTCTAAAGCAAGAAAAGTGAGATGATACCCAGAAATAAATATAACAAATCAGTTTGTTCTGTTCTTTTCTCCCCACTGTCAGCCTACACAGTGGCTCATCCGGGTTACCTGAGGACGTCGCCATCTCTCAGCATCCTCTTGAGCCGCTCCCGGTACCGCACGGCTCGGACCTCACGGATTTCTCGAATTCGTCTCCTCCAGTTCATGAAGCGATAATGAAGGTTTATGTCGTCCATGTCTGAAAATCATTACACTCTGGAACACAAAGAGCAACCGTGAGACCAAATCTTATGTTGAAAACATTTACATCGACTAATCTGAACAATTTTAACTCTTATTTTGCAGCCCGAGTATGGACTTGTGTACTTTTTGGTCAATAGTGACTAAAGTAACTTAAAACAGGAGTGTTGTTAGTACTTCTTCGCGTTAAATGTCGGTTTTAATTACTAGGTGTAATTTAAATACAAAAACAGCCTTTGGGCTTTGTTTTCACTGGTGACGCATCTCACTATAAACCAGAACAGTTCCCTCTTTAAAAAAAGCAGGTATTATTAAAAACAAACAATGATATTGACCACAAGATGATCTCTCTTGTTGCCTGACAACAGGACGGGTATGGATTAGACCCTCAGGCCAAACCATAGCTATGAAGATTTTGTGGTTTTCCATTCTCATTTATTCCCACATTCCAAAGACAAGTAAAGACCTGGACAGGGATATGACACCCGAAACAGGGATAAACATGGGTCCAAAACTGTGACAGTCCTGTGATGGTCAGATTTTGCCCCCTCAAGTGTCTTATAGTGTGTAAATTGGGACATTCATTATTTTATACAATAAGCTACCCATAAGAAAGGCCAGACTTTCTCCCACTGTACTTTTAAAAATCTAAACAGCAATATATGAATTCAGATGTTACCTTTGTTCTCTTATAAACTTGGTGTTGCAGCCAGAAATTAGATGGTTCAAAATCACCCTCAACACCCAAAATGTCATCTTTTCTCAGATCAGAAGCTTAAGAATAATGTTAAGACAAAAATGTGACATAAATCACGATGTGACTTTTTGAAGTTACGAATAATTCAAGTGTTGTTTATGTGTCAGCTAAGTGTTACGACACCTTTTAAAACTGAAATTGTGGCCTTTTCCTTCTTTCAAAGAGCAATGAATGAAAACTAGAGTTGATTTATATCGAAGGTGAGGACCGAGAACAAATACCAGAATTTAACCGATCTTGTGTTTCGAAAAAAGCAAGTTAGTCTCTGTGTTGTTGTCTTTTCATTAGCTGCTCCGTAGCTCGTTCAGTTCTCAAATTTACGAGCGTTCCTCAAACGCAGCCTCATAAAGTACACGCTGGACTCTTGTTGGCCGGTTAGCTGTTTTGAGACGTTTCCGCGCCGTGTGGCTAATTACGTGGCCTTAACGTTCACATAACTCAGGTTTAACTCACACAATTTTAAGTTTGTGTCTTATGTTGATCCCTTACTGTTTTATAACTTGTGACGCGTCGTCCTCTGGGTTTTCTTCCTATTTTAAGGAGGCGAAGTCTTTCACTTTATGGTCCAACCTGCACTCCCGGAAGTCCCGCCTTCTCGACCAATCAAAACTGAGGAACATTTAACCCGCGCAGTGCCGTCACTGCGCTCAAAGATATTTTAATTACCGTCCGTCGCCAATGATGAAAGATAATGGTTTTGCCCGTGCGTGTGAGGACTAATTTAAATTAAACTTAAATAATTTATTTAATGGTTGTACATCTACAATTGATTACCTTTTGGAGTTAACCAGATTCAAGGTGGCCGCCACAGCCAACTAACATTAAAAAACTCAAAAATGGCTTTAACTCAATCAGTTTTACAAAATATTAAACTAAAGTTGATGTGGTAGTACCTGAGATTGTGCCTCAACACAACTAATGAGCGCTATCAGATTTTCTAGGCTTTTTAATTTTTTTTTTCTCGAGTCAACTCTGTACTTCTGTTAGCAAAATATCTTGTGAACCACTGGACAGATTTTTATAACATGTCCAAGAAATTATCACTGGATGTACTTCTATAGCTCTTTAACTTTTAGAGCCAACCCATTTTAATATGGCCACCAAAGCCAATGGATACTAAAAATATTAAAATGGCTATAGTTCAGACATTTTTTCTGATTTTTTTGCTAAAAATTGTTGTAGTTGTAGCTGAGTCATTAACAACGCATATTACAAGTGCTACTTAATGCATATGATCCTTGCTAAAAAAAAAACAAAAAAAACTTTAGCGTTTATTGTTGGAGTCAACATTGTTTGTCTGTTAACAAAACATCTCATGAGCTACTGAACTGATTTTATTAAATCTCACAGGAATAATCACTGGATGTAAATTCACAATCAGATATCCTTTGGAGTAATTTGATTCAAGACGACCGCCACAGCTAGTCAACGCAAAAATGTCTACAACTCAGTCAATTTGACAGACACTGAGCTAACATTACGTGGTAGTAGCTGAGAGTCATTCACAATGCTCTGAGCTTGACAACATTCAATAACCCATGAGATTATACACAATGGTATTTTTAAAGGTTGACCAACTATGTCACTTCTCATCAAGATGATCTTAGTCTAATTCTCTGGCATTAAGTGGTGTGTGATATGCATTCTTTCAAGGAGTTGGGCCTTTAATTTAATTTTAATCTATTTGTTTTCTTCACGTCCAGCTTTGTTTAGCTTTATAAAGATGCTCTGCTTTTCCTTATATTCTATTTTATTTAAAAGACACAAAAAAATTCTATATACTGTAGAAGAAACCTAAAATGTGTGCAATAAAAAGCAAAGTGCCATACAGACCCACGTAATGTGGCTGTTTTCACAGCCTACATATCAATGACCACCGGTAGAGTTGTCTGCTAATTTCACGTGACTGTGACTCACAGACCGGAATTTACAGGCTGGGACTTTTACCATGATGGTTAATGTCTTAGTCACACAGATTTCCACGGCACTCCTTATTATAGCTTCAATCATTTCCTCTCAAACTTAAACTCAACGTTGAGACGCTCCGTGAAGTCACTCAGAGAATACAGTTTATTTAGAGGCTGCTGCAAGATAAGAAGAAAAGACAAAGTCAGAAAGCGGAACGAGGGGCGGTGAAGAGAAACAGTCTTAATGCTGTTTTGGTGACCTAATGAGATCGCATTGACGTCCACCATTGCTCTGTTTGCAGTAGGCGTCATATCAAAAGAGACAATAAATGCAAGGTTGTGCAAAGGTCTTGAGCAATCTATGCATTTTTCAGACATGACTCTCAGTTATTCATCTACTCCAGATTAGTTTTCTTTCTTCTTTTTTAGGCCTGACAACTGCTCGGAATCAAAGTACAGTACTTTCAATAAACTGTACTTAATGAGGTGGATGCTACATGGATGTAGTTAGAGGATATAGTTGGAGTGAGGACAGAGGATGCAGAGGACAGTGGGATGGAGGAGGTTGACTCGCTGTGGAGAGCCCTGAAGAGAGAACAGCCGAAAGAAGAAGAAAAAGACAGACATGAAACCGTTTTGTCTTATAAAGGTTTAAAGTAACGCATTGTCTTGTCTGCCATTCATCATGTTGCTGGACTTTGACAGTATTTTTCTTATTAAAGCATCGTTTCCGTAAATAAACGAAGGGCAGAGCAACGAAGCAGCAGCACGATCACCTGCGGTTTATGTCAGTGTAGAAAACCTCACAATGTCCAGAATGATAGACAGCAGCTGGAACGAGCGCGTGTGGGTCTGCGTATGTGTCAGAATTCTGTCGAACCGGGGGGGTGGGGTGCTCAGCTGTGTGGAAACTAGAGGGAAAGCTAACATTCTCCATAACACACCCTCCCATACCTTTCTTCAGTCTTTAAAAGGTGCTGCCAGTAGTGTCTGCCTGCCTTATCATCCTTTAGTCGGCTGGAGGAAACTGCACCCACACAGGCAGCCTGAGGATTTCAAACATCTTTCATGCAGGAGCTGATTTTTGAAAATCGTTCAAACAGCTTAAAGATACCCATATACGTTTGTAAAAAACCTTGGACTGTCAAGATGTTCCTGAGCTTAAACGTCTTGGTCCTGCTCCTCTCTGAGGTGGTCCTGGCGAGCGTGCTGACCTCACCGCTGAGAGCATGTCCCACCTGTAAAGGAAAGCAGGCGCCTGCAGGTCTGAACACCACTCTGGTTCTTGGAGAGCCGTGTGGCGTCTATACTCTGAAGTGCGCCCGCGGCCTGCGCTGTGAACCTCCGCAGGAGGAGCCGAGGCCTCTCCGTGCCTTGCTGGAGGGCAGGGGAGTCTGCAGCTACGTCAGCACCACCAGCACCACTCGAACCACCACCACACAGGTCCACACTGAAGGTAGGAGCCGCCCAACAGCTTGAATGAATGGATCATTTTCAACATCTACTATATTTTACTCTTTCTTGAAGTTATGTTTTAATTTGTGGGATTTTTTAATTAATTTTTTTTTAATTGTTTTCCTCCTTTAAGATAAACTGTTTTATTCTCTCCATCTGTCAGCGCAGTTCTGAGAGATAAAAATGCTTCATCAGTAGCTAAAGTTGGGGTTGGGACCTCATTGGGGCTCAGGACGGATCTGGGGAAAGAGTTAAATTAACTTATCCTTAACTATTAAAGACAAAGGTAGTAGTTTGGTAAAATAAATAAAAAAAATAAAGGAATATTAGACACCAGGTGTTGAATATATATATATATATATATATATATATATGTGTGTGTGTGTGTGTGTATATATATTATTTAAATTGATGAAACATGCATTTTTTTGTGTTGTTCCTTAATAAAAACTTGGAAAAAAAAGACAAAGGTAGTAGTCATGAATTGTTTAAACAATATATAAAAGTTGAGCGAGTTTTATTTGTTGAAAGGCTCATTAGAGATGCTTGAATACTTCAACCAGCAACTGCTGGGGAGTCAAAATCTTCTGCTGCTTAATTTATTTTTTATTTTTTGAAAAGCGGAAATGTTTGGGAACGACTTTGTTAATTAAAAAAAACCTAAATCTTTAAAAGTTATCATGAAGTTGAAGAAGCTCTTTGATAAATACCTATTAGCAGTGTTTGTATATTTTAATCTACATAAGAAATCCCCTAAAGCAAGCTCACTGTGAAGTAGATGACTAATTTACACGTGCGGTCACATGGAAATATCTAACATTTGTGTGTGTTTTTTATCTGATACTAGGTCCGGCTTCTACCGAGAGTCCAACTGAGGTATAAAAATCTTTCAAGTGTTTTTCAGCAAACGTTTGCAACCGTGACTGGGAATGAATCGCCCCTCATAAATCTGTTTCTTCCTGCAGGCCCCGTGCCGTAAACTGCTGATCACACTCATCAAAGATCTCAGTGCTCATTTATTTAAGTCCAGTCCTGATATCTACATGCCCAACTGCGACAAGAGTGGCTTCTTCAAAAAGAAGCAGGTGAGTTTGCGGGGAAGCTGCTCCATCAGGACTACACGATCTTGCTTCAAAGGTTCAAGGCCTCATTGTTTGTGTTGTGTGTTTGCGCTCAGTGTTGGTCATCTCGAGGTAAGCAGCGTGGAACGTGTTGGTGCGTGGATGAGAACGGCGTGCCTGTCACTCCCAAGGCTAAACAGAAGGGCAGCTTGAGCTGTTAGAGAGGAACAGATGAAGAGATGGGACTGAGATGAAGGAGCAGAAACAAAAAGTGAACCCAGTGGCTCAGATCCTCACTCTGCATCAGACTGAAGCAGAGGAACGTTGGTTCACCAGGAGGTCAAACTCGGTGTCTGTGCGCCCTCTGCTGAACACATTCAGACTGTTGATTTGGTTCTTTATCACATCCGTCTGTATTACATCTAGTTATGTCTGATTCCTGATGGGAACCTTTAACACGGATCCAATTAAACAGAATATAACTTTACACGCAAATCGACATTTTACTCCTATTAGATCATTCAGTTCGATGGTTTTCTTCTAAAAATATTTGAACTTCCAGTAAAAAATTATCTAAATCCACAAATGTCTCAAACCGTGAACCGCTGTCAGCATTACAGTTTGCAATGAGTTTTTTTTTTATTTTTGTAATTGTTTTATGCGTTCTCATATTTATATATTTTGGTACATTTTGAAACTTGAAACTGCGCTAAGTGTATCATTGTTCTTGTTGCATACAATCCTGACATATAACTGTATTTATATGACTGTAAATATGTCTATTTATATTAATAAAGGCCATCTTGTACACAGTTGTAAGAGTGGTGTCTAGAGCTCTTTGCAGAGATCTCAAGAATGGGAAATTGTTTATGCTTGACAATATTAAAACTGATAAACATGGACAATATTCACCTAAACACACTTGTTTTTGTGTATTTTATGAGCTGTTAGATATATATACTGTATATATATATATATATGTGTGTGTGTGTGTGTGTGTGTGTGTGTGTGTGTGTGTGTACGTATACAGCACCTGGAGACTATACACTGAGAGAAAGGGGGAGGCAGAGGACTAGGTAGGGTCCACTATATACAGGATAAAACAATGGATAAAACAACTAAAAGATCCTTCACCAGGAGGAAAGCCCCCATGATGAACTGATGAGTGAATGTCTCGGGCAGCAGCAAAAACCCAAAGTGAAAGAAGAGGAACAAGAGGAGTCATTCATTCAAACTTTATTTATACAGGTAAGTCTCATTGAGCCTCAAAGAGTAAGTCTCATTGAGCCTCAAAGACTTATTTACAAGAGAGACCTGATTTTAACAAAGATTCATGACAGCAGTAGATAATCATAAAATAAAGCATATGAATTGATAAAAATAAATGAAAGAAAATAATATAAAAAAAAGTAACAAAAACAGATAGATTGCAAAGCGATGTAGAAAACTAAAAACAGGAACATGTCTATGGGTTTTTCCCAGGAACTTAGATGTTTGAAGCCACTTAGAGAAATCAAGGTTGAGAGCTTCTTCAGATCTTTTTGCAAGACGTTCCAGGAAACAGGAGCGGAGTAGGAGAAGGCCCTTTTGTCTAGTTCAGTCCTCACTGAGGGAACACTGCGTGTAATAATGTCCTGAGAGCGCACGTGGTAGCTGCACTCACGCAGAGACATGTAGGAGGAGATGTATGAAGGCAGCAGACCAAGAAGTGATTTAAAAATGAAAATGTACCAGTGAGAGAGTCTGCGTGAAGTTCATGATGTCCAGTCAACCAGTGAATATGGAAATCATGGAGTCATCATGGAAAATATATATAAAAAATATATATTAAAAAAAATAA